GTAGATATGTGAGCTCCAAAGTAGTTTGGTTTAAACGATATATTGATTAATTAATATGGCTCAAAATATGAAAACATATAGTTATTAAGTAAATCTTAGATTTGGTCACTTTGAAACATTAACCACTAATATATTGAATATTATAAAGAAAAAATTAATTTATGCTAAATCATTTCAATCACCACTTGAAGATACAATATAAACTTTTAGAGTTTATAAAATTTAAGGTAATCAAAGGGTGGGAAAAAAAGCTATGCATTCATAGAACATCTATACCTATAATAATCATAATATCATATGCACATATTTTTTTTGGCTTGAGGGGCATAGGCCGCCTCAATCATGAGTGTGCATCCATCCCTGGTTGTAAGGGAAATTTTAGTAGAAAATAGAATTACCCTAATCCATTACCCATGTCGCTTTGTATGCTATAATATCACATGACTACATGGTATGCCAAATTGGCATGTCATGTAGTGTGAGGAGACACAACATTAACCCTATCAATCACCATACATCATTGTCACTCATTATCTTGCCCTACCACCTACCGCATCTCACCTCTATCACTTGCTACCTCACCTTGGCCGCCTTCCTACTCCAACACGTCACCACTATAGCCTGTCACTATTGCCAATCACCTCGGATTGGCAAGTGGCGTGGCATGCCACATATATGTCTTACATTATTATGTGCAAGAAATCTTGCAATTTATCATGCAAGAAATCTTGTATCATAATATTTGTAGAGGAATTAACATCAAGAATATATCACTTGATTTAAAACAAGTTTTCAATTAAAAATATGTAATTACGTCCTATAAGCGTTCCACTTATTTTTTCAATAGCACCTTCCTTATACTATTTATTTAATTTGTTTACAATATCGCCACCACAATGAAGTTCAAAGAGTCATTTTCACAATCTCTTAGCTTCAGAATTCAGATTAACAATTGACTAAATCAAAATGGCACAATATACTTCTTCACCTGAGATAGTTTGAATACTAAATCAAAGTGCGACGAGTTTTATGAAACAGAGGGAGTATTAATAAAGTAGAAAAGTTAATGTTGACTGTCTTCAATATTTGAACTTAACCTGACAATGTTCTTCTGACAAGGTTTGATTGGAGCGAATAATTTGATGGAGATCAGTGTCCATAAGCTCATATGCAATATATACGTCATTGAATGATTCTCTTTGAGGTGGTGGAATTATATCTCTTATTCCAACAATCTGTAAGATGAATAAACAAAGGATTAGGTATAAGGATCAGACCATTATAATTTCAGCCTTCCAAGTTAAAGTTTTATGTATAAATGGAAACATGCATCATCTTTAATTATTCAACATCATATTTTCATGCTATAACTTAATAATGGAATGACATCTAATGCAGTGTTAGTAAAATTGGTAACCAAAATTCAAAACTGCTACTTTCTTAATTAGTCAAAATGAATTCAATTTCTTTCTTAAATTATATATCCAAATAATATCTCCAATGCTCAGCATCCTAACTGCACCTGATATCTTTTGTAATCCATCAAAGTATATGTCATTGATTGGTACCATCTCTGTTTTCCTTTACTCACCGCATACCGAATACACACAAGACGCAAACAGTTAAAACTCAAATGCAAAGCAGTTGTGAAAAGCAAGCACATAGCAATTCACATAATATTTTTGTGTCCTCTTCATAAGGAGTCAAATTAGCAATTTTGTATGCTCAACCTCTCACTGTCATTCAACTACATGTAGAGCCAATATTTGGTTTCCTTCATACAACGGATTATCTAATTTAACTTGATAATAATAATAATAATTCTAAAGCTGAATAAACAAGGACTGCCAATAACAAGGGCTTGTGTGTGGGACTGTGTACAGAGAGGGGTCACTAACATTTTCATGATCCATATGGCGAAGCAGCTTGATCTCACGCAGAGTCCTCTTGGCATCAATTCTGTTATCAAACGCATTGGCGATCTTCTTCAGTGCCACGTGCTCGTTCGTTTCCGAATTCAAAGCAGAGCTTCATTTCACCCCCAAAACAAAACCAGAAATCAAAACACGCCCATCCATCCACATCAATCCATCAAGAATGACAGAAAAAAAAAAAGTTAGGTCTGAAAATAAGAGAAGAAAGAGGGCAACTGACCAGACAATACCGTAGGCGCCTTTGCCAATAGGCATGATGGGGGGCTTGTACTTCGCGGTGATCTCGAAAACGTTGCCGAAGATGTTGTATTGGATGAATCTGCCGCCATGGCTAAGCGTCGCCGGAATACTGTCGATCCCCATCGTTTGTGACGGAGGAGGCGGTGGAGGCGGTGGAGGCGGTGGGTGGCTAGACTGCGGGTGCTGCTGATGCGGTGCAGCCTCCGACATCACGGTGTCCGCCGGCGGCTGAGCAGAACCTCCGTCCATTTTCTCCCCCGCCAAGATGCCAAATAACGGTAATTGCAATGATTATTATTGTTGGAACGAACTAACCACTATTTAATAAGGAAAATCTATTAATTATCAATAATTAATAGTAATTATGAAAACCCTTTGGTTTCAATTAATTGATCTTCCCCGACGATAAAAATATAAAATCGAGCTGGCCATGGCCGGTGTTCTCTCTCCGGTGTGTATTTCTATTTCTCTCTTCTCGGGTCAACGCACCGGCTGTATTGGGAATACGGGTTTCAAACTTTTTTGCATCTCAAATGGGCCCTTTTAATAAAAACTTTCTTTTTTTTTTAAATAAAAACTTTTGAATTAAAAAAAGTTGAATTAGTCAATTAGATTAAATTAAGGGCATGTTTTTTTAAAGAAAATAATGCATTTATTAAAAAAAATAAAGAAATATAAAAGAAAATGCAGAATCACGAATGGATCAAGTGCTAATGCTAGATTTTATTCCACCAACATCCCCTTTATGATTTAGTAAATATGCAGTGTTACTTCTCATGGTTTAAAACTTATGATGTTGTCCCCTATGATTCTGATAATACAATGTCAATGCATCTCTCCATAAAAATATTCTTCAAATATTAAAAGAATAACTCTACTGCTCATATGGTTTTGGTAATGGATGCCAACACCCCCTCTCTTCTTTCTTTATTGTTTTTCTTTTTTCTTTTCTTTTATTCATGAAGAGAAGAAAAATGTTTTTGTATGAAATGGTGAAAAATTATTTTTTCAAACCTACGTTTATTAAAAAGTTTTAAAAAATAAACAAATGTGTGTGTTTGAAATAAAAAATTTAACATATACGGAGTACTTCATTTATCAAATTAAATATTTTCATTTTTTGTCTAAAAAAGTGTTATCTTTTTGAATATATGTCGGGACCAAAGAATACTCAATAATATATTTTTACTATATAGTTAATTGTATACTAATAATATTTTTTGACCAATGCGCAAAAACATTTCTTCCTGACTTAACTTTTTCTTTTCTTTTTATTTTATTTTATTTTAGTTTTGATTAAAATAAAAGAAACAATACAACATTAATAATCAGAAAATGAGAAATGAGCTTAAGTAAAAAAAGAAAATTTCATTGATTTTTGTATCATGAAAATGAATCTGATGGATGCATTCCACTTCCACCCAGGACCCGGTCCGGATCCGATTCCACAGCAGTTGACCGGTCAAGATGCAAACATATCAGGATGGAAGATTTTAGCTAAAAATAGACTATCGGTCGTGTCCGAAAAAATCGACCGGTACAAACTTTAGACTCACTGGTCAGGGCACGTGGCCGATTTCATAACACATAAGAGGTAAACCTACCGGGTAGGTGAATACGGTGTAAAAGTGTCGACACGAATAACTCCAAAGTCGGTTGGACGGTAGTGACGATTTCAGCGAAAGATTGAAGGAATATTCCCTCAATCTCGACTAGGCGCTACGCGCCAAAGGAAGAGTGACAAGAGGAGGCGCAAAGGTTAGGGATTATGAGATACGGAGTAGGCGCTACTCATTTTTTCTAAAATCATTTTCTGTAAGTCATTTTCTTCTTTTCGACCCTTACTTCTCATTGACACGAGTAGGCACAAAATTTAGGGATTATGAGATACGGAGTAATATGTGCATATATTATCCGACTCAATATTCATCAATATTTTTCAAACTAATTCAAATACCAAGTGCGTATATTCTAAAAACAAGGTGACATGACTACCCTCCATTTAGATAAGCAAGGCATTTCTTGTGACATTGGTCCAACCCGAGGCTACCACATTGATCTTTTAGAAAACTTGACTGTTCTTAACTCGCCTAAACCCCCCTTCTTTCGTTGATTGCCTACAATGATCATTGTAGCCAATTGGCAAAAGGGGAAAGAGGGTACAAGAGAATAGGAACCATTATTTTTTTTAAATTGTAGAAGGCCCGGGTCACCATATGATATTGATGTTCAATGTCACATGAATCGACCGTTAAACACGAGGCGGTTCCTATAACATTGGTCACAATATCATGCTATGACCGTAGGCTCCTACATTGTTCCATTTGAATAATCAATGTTTCGTGTTCCCCTAACCCCCAACCACCCCCTCCCCTAGCCCCCCTCGATTCACCAATTGGCTAAAGTGATTATTTATGAATATATGTAAATAATAAAAAATAAAAATATTTTGACCATGTAAATACTAATTGTGTCTTTACTTTTGGAACCCTAAACATGAAACTGCAGTCCTAACATCCCTAACATGCACATCCTACACATACCAGTGCAAACAAACAGGTAGGAAAGACTAAGATAATGCTATTATTGGTTGTGCATTAGTAATACCCCAAGGGGGTCGGGGGTGTGTTCGGGTCGGGGGCGGGTGTGAGGTACCGGGGGGGTTAGGAGGGATAGGAACCGTCAATTTTACGAACGGGGCACCGGAGCACCCCCGAGTCATCCCATGACATTGCCCTCCAATGTCACTTGAGCCTTCCCCCTAGTAATACATCATACCATTATCACAAGAGGAAATCGAACATGACTCATGTGCAATTTTATCCTAATTCTCTCATCTGATTATTTTGGTAAGATGATGATAAAGCAGTACAATATGCTCTCAAATCGAAAACAAAAACGGGTTGGCGAATCAAGTGAGCACGTTCTTAATAGTCATTGTAAGAACTGTTTAAAGCACCCACCACCTACATGCTCTCTTTCTTGGCAAATAAGAGAAAACATTCACTGGTCCAAACATGGCAACAAAATGAAGAACAGAAAGAAAGACAAAGGAGATGTTCAGATTAAGGTCTATAGAGTGTTCTCTCATACTAACTGAAAACTAGCTGCAATAGAAACGAGCTTGCATCCATATCCGTCTTAATGTGAGCAGTAAAGCATCCCCGTCTGTAGAATAAAAAAATGCAACAAATTATCAGTGAAGACAGTGAATACATATACCATTATGATGAATTCATTCAAATAGTGCATTCTTTTCATTTTTTGAGACAATGAATGGTATCTTAAACCAAATACTTTACCATCCAATCCACATCAGATGTAAGGAGGCGGGAAAAAAACAAGCAGTACCAAAATTAACACTCCCATACTGGGGTATTCAACGTGGCCACATGAACCATTTTGAACAATAAAAGCCACATTTTATTGTCCATTCAAAAAACAGACATATCATGCAACCTAATCTGTCCGTAAACTATTGTTTGATTTGACCAGACAAAGTTTAAGGTGATGAAGAACTGCAGTTGAAATTTATCTAGGATAGAAATGATATTGTTTTCCTTAATGCGAACGAGTGTTGATTTGGGGCAGATGAAAAAAAGTGCAAAAATAATATAGGGACGGGTGGATTACATGATACTCCCTTCACCCCACTGTGTTTGTCTCTTTTCTCCATTGTGGTATGTCACAAAATGTTTGTCTAACATATTTGGTTAGGTTATTAAACTTTGACTTTTCCTACTTTTCCTAAATCTGTATGACACTTTAACTCAAAGCCAAAGTTTACTGGAAATCAGAGAGGTTCGCGCTATTACCTCTTCAAAATCAGAATGTTTACCTCTAGCACGGCGAGGTTGGATAATATTTTTTTAAGGCGCATGGTTGGATAATATTAAGATGAAATGGGACGGTAAATTAGTAATGTACGTAAACAATCAGAACAGATGAGGATTAAGAGATACTTTTTGCTGTTAATGGAAGAAGAAAGGGAAAAGAAACAAAGAAGAAAAAGATGACGGAATGGAGAACGAAAAAGGACTACTAACCATCACTGGCCCTTATATTATGAAGGTAAGATACACACATAAGGTACATGAAGACAACTTAGAAAATTGTTTTTAAAAACTGCTCACAATTTTTAATGTTGCTAGTCATAATATTAAACATGATTGGGAAGTAAATTCTCTAGTGAATACGCCTACAAGGGTTACTCTGAATGTAGAGTGTGCAATTGCAAAGATAAATGAAAGGATACAATGAGCAAATAGTAGTATTTGGAAACATAGGCAACTTACAAACCTCTAGAGATGTTCACAAGAAATAAAATCACCTAAAAATGCTTTCACTGGATACTTGAATTAAGTTTCAATAAAACACATTCATTGATCGGGAATTAAAGCCTGCTTCAAGAACGGTACAAAACAGTATTTGAAAAATGGTGTTCTATACACATTCATATAAATGGAAAATGTTGTAAAAAAACATAACATAGCCAAAATACTTTAAAAAGACAAAAAAACGATGAGGGGTTCAATCACCCAAAATCTTGAGAGAGAAAAAACTAAGTATAATTGTTCAAACCATGATTGCATCTATTAGTTGAACAAACACTAAATCAATTAAAAAGCAAGTAGTATAACAACGTCAACAACAACCAAGCCTTCATTGCAATTCAAAGGGAGGGGCTACGTGAATAAATAGGAAAAGATTTGAAATCCAAATTTCCATGAATACCCATAAGTGATATTGAATTCATAACAAAGAATAGAGATGGGACCTCAATCTCATTGATAAAGCCTAAGATTTTGAGCATGACATAAATCAGGCAGCTCAGAGCACATGGTGAGAATCCTTTAATAAAGGGTATCCCAAACATGAAATAGGAAAATCTATTCACTTAATGGCTCATACATTTTTGTCTTGTTGATGTGGATAGGTCTTTCATTCATTGCAGTCTTTTAAAAATACAAAAGTGTTTAACAACGGAGAGGGAGAGGGACTTGGATCTGTTAAAAAAACATGTCAATTCTAAATAGTAACCCTATCAAAGGAAAAAATGTAAGAATACAACAATTAACCAAGAGAAAAAAAATAAGAACACAATAACACACCATTGAAACAACTTTATTATGAGGAAACCAAATAAGTATCGGAGAGATAAGAGTTATTCATCTGCCTCGATCTAATTTATGAAAAGAACCTTGATTGAAAATATTCTCAAGTGTTAAGAAAGCTACCAAAACATAAAGAGGTAAAACTCATTACCCACTCAACGGCCGAGCCCAAGGAGCAAATTGTTGTTTTTAGGCAGGTACTGAATGTTAGGACTCTTGGCCAAGGTGTTAGCAATCTCCTTTGAGGCTTCAATCCTTCTGAGCTCAATTAACCCCGTGCCAGCGGCTGCAGTAGCATCTGAAATCAGCTTTGCAGACTCACTCTCACCCTCAGCCCGGACAATAGCAGCCCTGCGCTCCTGTTCAGCCTTCATAACAACAAATTTGGACCGCTCGGCTTCCTGTTGTGCCACCTGTTTCTGCTCTACAGCCTTAGAGAACTCAGGGCCATAAGACAAGTGGGTTATGGCAACATCATCCAATCGAATGTTGAAGTCCTTGGCCCTGTGAGTCAAGCTTTCCCGAACCAGGGCAGAAACCTGGGGACGCTCAGTGAGGAGCTGGTCGGCATTGAACTGGGCGACAACAGCTTTCAGAATCTCATTTCCAATGGATGGGAGAACCTTGTCGTCATACTCCAGGCCTAGATTCTTAAAAATGTGGGGGAGGCGAGAGACCTCAGGGCGGGAGAGCACCCGGAGAGTGAGGTTCACCATCTGCAAATCCTTGGTTCCCGAGACAGAGGAGAAGGTGTGAGGCCTGGTGCGTATATCAAAGATGATCGGCTTCTGAAGCCAGGGGACCAGAAAATGAGTCCCCTCGCCGGTGGTCTGGTCGATCACTCCACGGACCCGATCGAAAATCACGGCGCGCTGGCCGCCATCGACGGTGTACATCGAAGAGCTGATCACCGTCGCACCCACTCCGACGCCAAACGCGGCGCGGGCAAGGTTTGTCAGTAGGGAAACAGCTTGCTTGCTACCCATGTTGGCCGAGAATGGAGAATGGGAATCGGAGAACAGAGACGAGATGGGGAATCGGAGGAGGCTAGGGTTTGGGAAGCTGCGTTCAGTTGTTATACCCAGTCTAGTCTGGCTACGTTTGGTTTGTGATTCATTCCAAACAGTTCACCCAAAACAGAACCCCCCAAAAAAATGTACTGAGTAAAATATTATTTCACATTATTTTTTTAGTATTATATATTTCATATTTTTTGGTATTATATGTGAATATTATTGACATTGTAAATCATATTTTGAATATAAAGATGAGGGTAATGTTTTTTTCCTACGTTTTACATTATTTTAGTTGTTTTTCTTTGATTCTGATTACTTTTTTAAGATCTGATCTAATCTAATTTTATTTAAACTGATTTTTTTAATGAATCTAATCTAATTCATATTAACATTTTAATTATTATGATGATTTTATTGTTTTTTTAATATGTAGTCCAAATTACTTCTTAAATACTTTGTTTTTTTATAAAAAAAATTTAATCACTTACTTTTTGAGATTCAACATTATTTCAATATCATGTATACATTTTTTTAATCTCTGTAAAAATAAAATTACTTCTTTCACCACACTTTTCATTATCATGTACCTGGGTGATCCAAGAAATTGGTCTCTTTTAATATACTCCGATCCTTTTGTCCCATAATAATAAACACTTACAATTTACTAGTAAAAACATGATAACTTTTATTTACTTGTGTATTTTCATTGGTTAATAAAGTAAGATATTATAAAATTTAGTATTGTTTTTTGTGTCGCGTTGAACTATTAATATAGTTTTTAAATATATAATTTTTAATTTTTATTTGTATAACAATTTATAGATAAAATCATTATAAAAAAAATAAAATCTTACACGAAAATCGTGAATGAATTTGGAAGGCAGCGAGTACCAATCATTTTGCTTGAGTTTAGAGACCAAAATATTGCCATATTCTATAAGCCCTTGTAGTTCTCATATTCTTTGAAGTGTACTTGGAGAGCAACCGTACCGTAAAGTTAAAGATGAAACACCGCCATGACTTCGTGAGGCGTTGTAGTGTCACGGTTGGTTGATGGCGTTAACCGGCATTGATTAGTGGTCTACCAACGGCTGGTTGGTCAACTTTTAATTTTTTCTTTTATATTTTTATTCCCACTACCATTACACTGCCATCACACAATTATTTAGAAAATTAAACTATGTTCATCCCATTTTGGTTAAATTTTACTCTTATTTAAGAAGATTTGAATTTTATTTCTAAAAAATATAAAAACATTTTTCTAGTTAGAAGTATTATAGAACGACTTGTCATTTTCTTTTTAAAAGTAGTAACGGTAAATAGAAATGAATGTTGTCACAAAAAAGAAATATGAATGTTGTCCCTTAGTAATTAGTAGGGTTGTGTTATTGTGACTTAAACTCCACATGTGAAATTTGGACGTACTCACATATTTTTCATGGAATCATAATTGAATCTCTTTCTTACAAAGCCCACAACAGATAATCATTTTCTATATTAAGTTTCATGAAATAAGTATGAACCTAAGGATTACAAAGGATTTGCATAATTTAATTAGCAATAGATCCTAATTTCCTTGTTTTTCCAAATTTAATGGATTGATGAGAAAAAATATTAGAGTAAATTTCATAAATGTACACTAATTACATAGTTTCATAAATTTCAGATGTTTTTCCTAAAATATTACATAAATGATTTTCAATTCTTGAAAATTATTTCATAAAAAGTCTTTTATGCCAAATTTGATAAAATTTTATTTCCACGTATAGTTTCTGAAGTACCGATTATGAAATATTTTATGAAAATTGATGATAATTTATTTAATATCTTAGAATTAGAGTCCGAAAATGGAAAACAACATGTAATTAGGGATCATTTATGAAATTTTCTCTAAAAATAAAAGGTCAAAATACAAGTGAAGCACCTATGTGACAAATAAAAGTTACACTTTCCATTCTATAATTATCTTCCAAATTTGACTTGACTTGACACAAATTTTAATAAAGTATAATGTGAGGGATTGTGAATTGTATGGAAGAAAGAAAATTGATTTGGAACACATATGTGTTTTTCTTTAAAAGAAAAGAGGGAAAAATCGAGACAACCCAAATTAAAAAAAGAAATATAATTATGAAACAAATGGAGCAATAACAATTCCTCTAATTAAGATCTTATATTTGATATTTTGATGTATTCAAAAAAAAACCCAACTCTGGGTTGAATTCAACTTAGAACTATGTCAAAAAATATAGTAATATTATTTGGCTAACTAGTAAGGCACTAACATGGTGTTTCTCTATATATAAATCGAACCATCAAAGTGGTCCAATTTAAAGTTATAGGTGGGATGATTGTTGTGACTATTGACCATTTTCCCCTGTGGTTTCGTCTCAAGAGTTCCAAATTCATCCAAAACCATTGTGTTGCTCATAGCCAACAGCTTAGAAGTACTGTCGACAATGTCGGCTATCTGAGCGGCCACAACATTCCTGAGCTCGTCCATGGCGTTCCTCAGTTGCTCCAGTTCCTCCAAGTCAAGCACGCTTATCGGGGCTTCCCACCAGCACTGGCTCCGGCTCTCGCTTCTCATCTTGTCGAGCATCTCTCCTTTCTTCTTCTCCACCTCCAACTCTGTGATCATCTGAGTCAGAGTCATGTTCATCTCTTGGACGCTGCCACTACGGTGCGCCCCCAACAAATTGATCACCGTAGCGTCTGGCTGATGATGATGCCAGTTATTGTTACTGATACTAATACTATTATTATTATTATTATTCTTTTTTGAGAGGAACCGATCGATGATCGATTCCACATGCGGGTGCCCAAAGGAAAAAACTTTTCCCGCGGGGGAGAAGACAATGATGGCAATCTCCGCCCCGCATAGGATGCAGAGCTCGCTCGCTTTCTTGAATAGACCGGACCTCCGCTTCGAGAACGTCACTTGGAGGTGGCTTTTTATCTCTATTTTGGCTATCTTGATCTTTTGCCTCCCAAGGCTAGCCTTCTTCATTCCCATGGCCATAGATATTGAAATAATGTGGCTAGGATTAGGAAGAAAAAAGAATGATAATGCAAAGATGAAGTGAGCTTAGAGACTATATATACATAGTTTTATTGGGTATGGGCATTAAATTTCAAGCTCATTTTAGTAGCATTTTTATTATTTTCATAAATTAATTACAAGATGATATGGGGGTTAGAGAATCTCTCATTCTTTGTTATAATTGATGCATATATAACATGCTTTAAAAGTCAACTCCTTCCGTTGGATAAATTTATATATACACATGATATAATCGTCTGTGAATATACATAATTTATAAACAATTATATCATGTGTGCGTACAAATTTACAGATGATTATCATTAGTGGTGCCAAAGTTGGCATTATTCTAGCTCGCATTTTTATTTGGAAAATAATACGGAGTACTCTATATGTTGGTAATGCAAATGAATGTTAAAAAACGTGATCACGATTCTGCGTGGCATTGACTTTAGCATTTAATTTTGACGTACGTTTTGAAAATATTATGGGTATCTTTTAACATTATTTTTTTCAAAGTTAATTTAACATTGTTTAATTTTCTCTTCACTTTGTATAATACTACCTCCGTCACACTGTCTTTGTCCACTTTTGACTTTTGGAACTGTTCATCTAAGCACTTTGACTCATCAAATTCTCTTAATGTGTAAGCCTAAATATAGTCATGTGTGATCTTGTTTGATTTGTCTTAACATATAGATTATTAATATATACTCCGTAATTTTTATAACTTTTTAATATACAAATTACAAGATAAAATGGATTAAAGAAGTGCATTGGATGGTGTGCCAAAAGGTAAGTGGACAAAGACAGTGGGACGAAGGGAGTATGTTTTGTATAGTTCAAACACTAAATGTTATACTCCATAGTTTCTCCTTCCTAAAATGAAGTTTCTGACTATGTATTTCATTTAAGAAGTTATTAAAAAAGTTATATTCGTAAAATATGATTTATATATTGAAATATACATCAAATTAAATTTTTTACAAAATAGGAGTAAATGACTGCTGGATAATTTTCTTTTATCAGATAAAATTATACATACAGAGTATAATGAAAAAAGATATACTACTTAACTAATTGATCAAATGAATAGTTACGTTATAATGAATTAAAGTCCTACTCGGTTCACCCATTACAATTATAATCGATCCTAAAAATGATATAATCCACATTTATTTGCATGTATGATGGTATGAAGTTCCATCCTCCCAATAATTTCTTTTAATTATAGGATAATAAGTGTAAAATATAATGCTAATGTAACATTGTAACTTCTGAAATATAATAATTATTTCAAAATAGTTATTAGTGTAATCATTATTCTTGCACTAACTCATAATATAATGAGTCATAAAACAGTATATGTTCTTGGAACATTAGGATGCCAACTACGTTCACTAAGCCGAACATTAGAATTGATTTGTTAATTGAAATTCAATGAAATTTGTTTGGATAGAATTGAAATCTCCAATTCTATTTCATTTGTGGTACTTCTAATTCCAAATCCATATATTTTTGTGCTATCAAATAGCAGAATTAAAATTGTTATTCTCAATTCTAAATTCATAGTTTGAATTTCGTATACCAAACAGCGCCTAAAAATAAAGTATTGCATCCTAATTACTAATCAGTATTTCATTGATCCCTCGTTTTAGTGTCCGGGCATTGTTTCTGTCATGAACTTACTTTAAAAAAGGAGGTTGATAATTTATGTTGGCAAACTATATTGTACAGCTCGATGCACCTATTTATTCGGAATATCATGACAAACTTATAATTAAAAAATATTTTAGAATGGACACTATGTTGTTTCAGAATTGACATGTTTAAGAATGAACACTACATTGTTTTAAAATAAACACTACATTATTTCTGAATGAAGACTATGTAAAACAAGCTTCAGAATGAACGCTACAGTTGAAAATGAATATTTTGTTTATTCAAAATGAACATTCGAGATTTCTTAAAACGTTAGTCATGTTCTACTAACATTATTTTATGTTTAATTTATCTTAAATATAAGTGCAGAAGAACTATATATATATATATATATATGAAATTGACACCACACTTATTGGTGTCCATTGGCTACACCAATTCAATTGGAACACTTACGGTATTTCATTTATAAAATTGATAATTTTTATTCCCTTACTCCCCGTTTGCCCACCACCCCAACTTCTCTACCCCTCCTCTCTCCCCCGGCAGAGTACTGGCAGGAAAAGGACCAAGTCTGGGGTGGGGGATTAAAGCATATTAAATAATTGGTGTCAAATTATTCAACCCCATATACATCTATATATATTATTTTAACAAACAACTGACAATAATAAGTTTAGTTTAACAATGCAACAGAAACTTGTTTTATTTCCTTTAGAAGCTGAGTAAAACGCAGCATCTCACACTGGAGTCTACTTGTAAAGCAATCCGAGTTCAACGAGTCATCCGACTCAACGACCCCAACACAGCCAATATCAGAGTTCACAAAACTGAAATACAACCAGCTTTCTAAGACCTTCATAAAAAATGTGAGAATATCTCCTATTATATACACATCATAGAACAACAAACCAATAATAATATATATATATATATTCTTAATATTACAATGAAATCATCTATCAAAACAACTCATCATGTTCAGTGTCATGCTTTATTTCGGCATAATCATATGCAAGGATCTGCAGCAGAAGCACAGGCACTGCGTAGCTCTTGGGACCGTGCTGGTGGTACAAAATGTATTAGAAACCCGCCAAGTTTGACACCAAAATTGACACCGTAGCCTATTTTTCGCACAACCAGTAATTGTCGATGAGAAATTTACTGTGCACGAACACTAATGGTGTCATCCTTGGTGGGATCGTAGCATGGCTCTTGGGTGAATCACACCGCTGAGAGACTGGCCCATTTGCCAACTTCATACGGGTCTGCATAGTAGTATAGCTTGATTCTGTTACTGAGAGACAAGCCGGCAGCGACAGGGCGAGTTCTGTAGCCTGATGAGTCATCCTGTTCTGTTTGGTCGTCGGTGAATGCGGCAATATCTCCAAGAAGGCGGAATGCGATACGCCTCGAGCTTATTTGCCTCGGGAAGTCAAAGTACATAGGTGTCCCGGGCTTCACTTCTGGTAGACGATATTCGGCCACAGTGACCATGCTGTGAGGTTCCTGATAATAAATAAAGATCAAGGATGATTTTCAATTAAAGGTTAGATATTTGAATTCCTTGAAAATATTGAGGGAAGAAATTATAGCACTTACCCCTCTCTTCCAAAAACAACAATATTCACACAGTTAAACCACATCCCCATTCCTACATATTTTCAGTGATCTTTTTTTCTTTTTCGAGTGCTACCAACTCAATTAGCCAATTACAATATAGTATTTGTCATACCTTCTCAACCTAATAACACACACTGAGTCAGTGCCTCTACCTCCACTCGACTCGAACCTAGGCAAGCTTCTCCATGAATTTTGGAGAGTGGGTCAAGGGAGAAGCTCTTTACTGATCATTTGATAAAATAAAATAGTGAAACCACCTCTTGTTTTGTGGAACTTTTAACGAAAAATATACCATGAGGTGACCAATGCTCTCTGATAAGAACTCCGTGGTCCTAGTCTTTTTAGAATTACACTCACTCACCTTAAATTAATTGTAAATGCTATGTGATGACAATCTGGTGCTGACATTTACAAATAATTTTCAAATTCCCAATACGCCCTTTGAAGTTAAATTTTTCCCAACTAGATCCTATTGAAATTTGTCCACCTGCTGGCGAGATCAAGGTAGGATATGGATATGGTGGGCCGTGGGTGAGAGGCCAGAGTGGCTGTGGCATTCCGTGGAGTAGGTGTCCGCAACAACTTACTCACAAGGGCATATCAAACATTTCTCAATTATTTTTGAAGACCAACACCTGATTGTAGCCTTACAACATGTACAATTAAACTAAAGGCGCCCCAGAGTGTGATTCTAAAACTATAATAGCGGTCACCCACGAGTAAATTTTAAACCTTTTTTTATTTTTAATTATACACCTATTTTTAAATAAAACTGAATTGAAAATTACTTTAATTAAATATTGTAAACCGAACTAGGAAGAGTATATAAGAACGGAGGGAGTATTTAGATATCTTAAAGCAGACTAGCAGAGGAAACTGAGTTTCCTGGTCTCTCTACCTGGAATGCAGATACTTGAATATATAAGACTGCAGGAGATATGAATCTCTCATCAAAAGGACATGCGAGATCATTCTGTGAGCTGTAAGTTGAAGATGGGGAATGAGTGATCCGAGATTTTATGGCACTGAAACCATCCAGACGAAATCCTGCCAACATAGGTGAAGCTGGGGACAGGAACTGCTCCAAAACAAGATCATTGTCCATTAACCTTTCAGCCTCTATAGGAACCTGGAAAATGAGAGAGGATCTTATACACCATTGCAGAAGAAAAAAATGTGGAATAACTACTCATTCAGGAGCACAGTATAAAGTGATTTGCACCTTATATCTGTTTAATTGGGGACCTCTGTCCAACAAGTTTGTATTCAGTTGGCCAGTGGCTTCGTTTGATGTGCCTATATCTCTATTGAGTGCATTCCCCAAGACCATGATTCTTTTAGCATGAAGGCACGGTTCAGTTTCAGCTGCTCCCCCAATTGAGGCGCGTCTAGTGATCTCTGAGAAAGGATTTTCATCCAGGGACAAAAGATTGATCTCTCTCTCAAAATTAACAGAATTTGACCCAATTCTTTGAAGACGTAACATTATCCAAATAATGCGGCACTTAACAGGATTTCGGAATGAAAATTTGACATGTCTGGGTACTTGGCATGAGTTTTCTGAGCCACTAAGTTCAGAAGTCATCATGGACCGGACATCCCACTTTCCAACGCAAGTCCTTTCTTCTTTTTCAATTTTATTACTGACCCAAATTTGTACCTGCCAGGAAGTATCTTCTTGTAACTAAAACAGTATTCGATAGAACCAAAAATAAAATAAAATAAAATAAAATAAAATAAAATAAAA